TGGAGGGAGGGGGAAGGAGAATGGGGAAAATGGAGTAAGGAAGGAAGAGAAAGCACGAATAGGGGGAGAGAAGAGAGAGAGAGGAGGACGGGGAGGAGAGATGCAGGGAGGGAAGAGTGGAGAAAAAGGAAAAGAGATGGAAAGGGAGAGGGAGGGCAGAAGGGAAGGGAAAGAGAGGGATGGATGATTGGATAGAGGGAAGGAGGGGGAAAGGGGATTGGAGGAGGAGGGGAAGGGAGGGAAGGAGGAAGAAGGGAAAGGTATGAGAAGGGAGAGAAATGGAGGAAGAAGGGAAAGGTATGAGAAGGAAGAGAAATGGAGGAAGGACGGAAAGGGAAAGAAATGGATGGATGGAGAGAGGGAAGGGTGGATGGAGGGAGGGAAGGGAAGGGAAGGGTAGGGGGGAGGGAGAGAGGGAGGGAAAAAGGCGAGGGAAAGGAAAGGAAGAGGCAAAAGAATGAGGGGAGGGGGGTAAAGCGAGGAAGAAAGGGTAAGGAAAGATAGGGGGAGGGAATGGAGGGGGAGAGGAAGGAAAGAAATAGAGGAAGGAAGGGAAGAGGAACGAGAATGGATGGACGGAAGGAGTAAAAGAGGGAGGAGAAAGGGTAGTAGAGAGTAAAGGAGGGAGGGAAGAAGGAGAGATGGGACGGAGGAAGGAAAGGCGGAAGGGAGAGCAAGGAGAGAAGAGATAGAGCGAGGGAGGAAGGGAGGTTAAATGGAAGGGTAGGAGGAATAAAGGGAAGAAGGGAAGGAATAACGAGCTAGGGTGAGAAGAGAAGGATGAAAGAAAGAGAGAGGGAGAAGCTGGGAAGAAAGGAGGGAGGAAGGGAGGGAGTCATTGAGTGAGTGAATGAGTGAATGAGAAAGAGAATGAGAAAGAGAGAGATAGTAGAAAAGAGGGAGAGTGAAAGAGAGAGAGAGAGAGAAAGGGGAATGGAGAGGGGGAAAGAGAACGAGAGAGATGAGGAGAGAGAAAGAGAGGGCATGTAATACATATCACACACACACACACATATACATGAATATACATGTCAATAATTGTGCGATTGAGTTTATATAACAGAATGTACTTCACTTAACAGGACATGTGCGCCCTTCGGAAGGAACAAGAGCGGACTTCAGAGATCATCAATGCCTTTGTTGAGGTGAGACAATAATATTTATATTAATTATTGTCAAAAAGAAAGTTTACGCAGGACATAGGTAAAAGGAATATACTTTTCCCTGTTTTCCTTTTACGTATATTTGTATTTTGTTCTCTCGCCTCCTCCTTCTTTTTGTTTTCTTCGTTTTCTAATTTTCCAGCTCCTCCTCTTCCACTTTTTCCTCCTCCTCCTCCTCCGTTCCTCCTCTTCCCCTTCCTCCTTCACTACCTTGTGCTGCAGACCATTTTCCTTTCAATTTTTCTTTAAATAATAGCTGCGAATTCATCTCCAGTCGCTAAATCTACCTTCGTTGTTTTGCAGAGCCAAGAAAAATTGAACAAAACCCTCGAGCTGCTGATAAGACTGCTGACAGCGCTAGATAGCCTGCCGTCAGGGACTTCGCGAGACCTGCGAGAGAGCATTCGCGACGTCTTGGGTCAAGGAGGCCTCCGCCAGGACTCAGGCGCGCGTGTGCACGAGGCAAGGCGGCGTTTTATGTGTTTGTTTTATTCGTCTAATTCTGTCCTCTTGTCCTTTTCTTTGTGTTGGTTTATAGGTATACGGTATATATATATATATATATATATATATATATATATATATATATATATATATATATATATATATATAACAAATACAATTAAAGAATCAAGCAGGCACATGTACTGCATGTACAATACATGCAATAGCAATTTCTAGGAAATGTTTATTCATCAGATCAGCATAATGAGAACAGCTCTGAAAACCAGGTAATGTTCATTTAGAAACATTTATAGCAACTTCCATATGGTTTGCATCTTTGTAGGTTTAAAAGGTAGCAATAGTATCGTTGTACGTATTTTTTTTCTTTGGAAATAAATAAAAAATGGCGAATGGGAGAAATCTGTGAACGATATGCAAATATCTCGTTTAATCTTTTTGGGGCATTAGCTGATCGAAAATAAAATTTGAAGAATTCACTTATTCTATCGTTTTAACTTTTGCTTATTTTTTTTTCTCATAATAGGAAGAAATACAACAAAAATACGTTTTTCAGTGCTTCAGAACAGAATGAAACCAGTTCGACAACAGTAACTGTCCTGAGCCCTCGACGGCACATACCCATGTGTTTCTTTTCCTTTTTAGCTTATAAAAAGTTCTAACTTCAAATAGCTATTTAATAATAATAAAAAAAACTGACATAAAAAAAATTTGTGATAGAAAACCGAAAGCCATTAGAACTGATTAATGCCATGAAAATTATAGTTTGACAAACCTTTACCAGTTCATTCGATGGCGTAGATAAGATAATGTCCCGCGAAACATCAAAACTGTTGCTACAAATCCGACCGCCTTCCACCTGCTTGCCTTCATTACTGCATAATAATCCTATAAAAGACCTTAAAGACCATTTCGATCTTGTCCTGCATCGAGCCATATAGGGAAATGCTTTTCACAAGCTCATGACAACTAAAGTCACGTCACTATAAATCCCTCCATTATGTAGTAATGGCTGAGAATTAGCCTTCTCGTGTGTGCTTCCGCTGTCAACCACTCTCTAGTCTTTAGCTAAGATGAATGTTTTTTTTCATTAATGGAGATCTGAAAGGATAAAGTTCACGGCATGTATTAAAAGACCCTCGCCTGAAACGCACAAAATCAGACGAAATATGAGGCGACTTCAGGCGCTCTGATAACTGCATGCGAGCTCCACCCGACAGAGGCGAGGGCCATCAACGATCGTCGACTCCGCCTCAAGGGCCTCGCCCTTTGGGCTCATCCTTAATACGGCGCGGTCGCATTGAGGATGAGCCGAGGTCGGGCACGTCCGTAGCTTCCCACCTTTTGGGAACGCACGAAGATCACCCCCAGAGGCCTCGTCTTGCGGAGACTCCTTTCGGCTGCAGTTCCCCCTGACAGATTGACCTGCCTGTGGCGCCCAGCCAGTCTACCGCGTTAATAGGCGAACCGCGTCATGTTTCCAGACTGGCAGCGCTATAGATTATTATACACATTATCCCAGCCGGTTCAGTTGCGACGTTTGCTTGGTGACGCCACGTTCTTGGGCACCTCCCCCCCCCCCGCCCCCTTGATAATAATCGATGGTCCAGCCGCTCGTGGGGATGTATTGCAGGGCCATAACTTATTGCGCAGCACGTTATCAGGTCGTCGAAAGGATAATGATAATTATATCGGTCACAACCACTTTCTGTCCAGTAGCTCATATATATATATATAATATATATATATATATATATATATATATATATATATATATATATTGAGTGTGTATGTGTGTGCGTGTGTGTGTATTATGAATATGGAAGTATGTAAAGTATAGAAAGAGAAACAGTTAATTAACAGAGCGAAATGAGACCAGTCAGAAACTGTGGGCTAATATACAGGCACCGTGTTTTGCAGGCTCCCTCAGGGCTAACCTGTGCAGTCTGCAGGTCGACCTACAACGCGCACGATCGTCGTCCGCTTATCTTTCCAGCTGCGGCCACACCTTCTGCGAGGAATGCCTTAGTAAGGTTTCTGTTGTTTGTCTTTCTGTGAAATCTGTGTTTGGCTTAATGTCTGGTTTCTTTCCTGGTTTGTGCTTCTTTGTTTTATTTTTATTTTTTATTTATTTATTATTATTTTTTTGTTTGGCGTTGCGTTGTGTCTTTGTTTTCAGTGTCTTGGTGCCTCGTTTTTTTGTTTGTTTTATTTCTGCAATAATTAATATGTTGCTGTAAGAGAAGATACAACGGGTGACAGGGTAAAATATACATATATGTGTGTTTGTATGTGAAATAACGTTTAAATGAATGAATAAATGAATAAGTAGATGAATAAATAGATACATACGTAGATAGAATAGATAAGA